TTCGACTATTTTGGAATTTAAATCTTCACCTCCGTAAACGATAATTTGACCCTTTTTTGCTTTTGAAATTAAAAGTTAAGATGTTAACGATTAGTTTCAAAAATAAATTTTCCGAATAATAAATATACTTACTGAGTACGGCAGTATGATGCAGACGCGATTGTATAGTATGAAGCGTGCGTTTTTGCAAACCAACACCAGTAGCCGCCTATGATATAATACGTGTTAGTAAGGAATTGATTATTTGTTAATGCATTACGTTTAATATGCTTACCATTGTAGACCAACTTAAACTATTTGTATCGAAAACGTTTATCTAATTACGATTAAGATTAAAGAACACATTATTGCATTAGATAATACGTTGTACATTGTAAATTAATTTCATTTTAAGTATTTACCGCGTTTGAATCAACTATATTGAGGGAATTATCAGAATATTCTCTTCCTCCAATGTAAACAATATTGCCATTATCTAAAAGCGTGGCAGTATAATCAATTCGTGGAGGTGGGGTGTTGGAACCTGGCGGAATGGTCACCCAGTTATTTGTACCGACATTTAGAACGTTCATATTATTAGAAAACTCGACATTTGAAGGATCGGTAATCGCATATCCATTAACAGGATCTACGTCCCTTGCTCGAAGCATAAATCTTCGCCTTAAAGCGGCAAAATTGGTAACCTTAGCTCCACCAAAAATATAGGCGTTCCCCGCACTATCTACAACGGCATTATTTTCTTGTTGCTGGGTTGGTGGATCACCACTCACCCCAGGTGTATCCCATGTTGCTTGATTGGGATTAAATGTATATACAGGATTGGCAAAATTTGGCTGACCCGAAGTTGGATCTGTCGTGAAACCACCAATTAAATAAAGAGAGCCATCAAGAGGGCTAATAACTGAAGTGGCAAAAGAAGGAGCAACTGGGGCATTTGCTCCATTCACAGATTCCCATTGTGGACTATCGGTCGAGAATGAATTGGTTAGGTTTAGATAGAAAACATCGTTTGTATTCGATTGGCCATTATTTCCTCCGACGAAGTAGATATTCGAGCCAATTAAATTGTCTGTTTGACCAACTCTTGGATCCGGAGTAAAACCAAAAGTTTTCGAAATAGAAAGAAACAATAAAGGAACCAAGCCTATATACGGTCGCATATTGAAGCCCGGTTAAGATTCGAATAAAGGACGATACCGTGGTTATATACATTTTCTCCATCTCTTGGTAGACTAGGTTGAGTGGCTACAATGAAAACTTTCGATTTACTTACATAGAAAGTGTACAGATTAGTGTACGATAACGTATTGTAAATATAAACATAAATATTGTGGTTTTTATGCACACGCATGTTTTCTTTCAAAAGAAGGTAATTAGTTACTATAACTGTAATTCTTGGGACTCTAATAGTCTAACCGGTGAGCCGTCACCAACTCCGAAGAAATTAATTGCATGACTCGCAATAACAAAAAAACTTGTGAAATTTAGGGAGTATAACTTGTTGATTTTTCATATTTCCTTTTTTCTTTTTCCATCATTAATTTTTAGTGTTCAGGATACATGCATGCACTGTACTGTACTGTATTATCTTTTCGTGAATCTTGTTGAGTGCTGATCTATACGTTTCTATTATATTAATTATTCGTGTAAATCCGAAAATGGGTTATTCACTCTGTCCCGTGCGCCAAATATTCCGCCGGCGTCGTAGATTTCGTGTCGAGTACATTTTTCGTTAATCGACTTATTGTTCGCGGTATAAAAAGACAAAAGTTGTCGAAATAAAGAATAAAGAATTAAAACGTATATTAACTCTTATGTTGAAGCTCATTTATTAAAATTAGAAAAGAAATGGTGATAATATAAATAATCTTGTTACTTAAAACAATGATTACCAAGCGATTATTATTATGCAATGGTCGTTCGACAATCATTGTTACCCTCCGAACTGTGTAATATTAAAGTTTGTGATACACGCTAACCAGGAGTCGTACTAGCTCTGACCAGCAAAGAATGTTACCAATTTTATATAACATTAAGGGTGTTCTCCGTATTTCAGGCGTACAAATCATCCGGTAGCTGTTACAACTTGTGATTTGCAGATCATCATTTTGAATTTCGGACAATCTGTACGCTGGCTGCAAAAATGCAGTACGAGGAAAGTCCCGTATCGTTGAAAATTTTTCAAAAACCACCGACTTGCATGACTTACAATGAAATTGAATTTAACGAGTACACTGTACTTGGTTGATTATCGATTATTTCTTGTTTTTAAGTTTTCATCATTACAGAGAATACATTGTTTTCTCATAAATCTCGCTGATATGCGTTTCTATTGTATCAAAAACCTCTTATTGTTCTTGTAAATTTGTATGGGACAACAAATGAGATCTTTACTCCGTTTCGTACACAGGTTTTTGTGCCAGATGTATTTGTATCTAGTAAAAACTAAAGGTTGTTAATCTAATGAATAGGCTAAGGAATTAAAACTTATATTAAGTCTCGTAGTGAAGCATAGTTGTTAAGATTAGAACAAGAAGATAGAGTAAAACATGAGTTGCCTTTACAGCATATGATAGTTATAAAAACTCGTGATAAATTAGATCAAATAATTAAAACGCCAACTTTCTCTTTACATACACGTGTAGTTTATTTGTCATATATAAGGACTGTATTCCATATTAAGTATAATAAAAATATTAGTAAATTATCGTATGTCCGTATCTAGCTTTTTTTAATATATGGAGAGATAACATGACATGATTATCGAACAATTGTTTTTAAGCGTTGAAACTTATTCCACGATCGTTCGATAATCATCGTTAATTGTGTAATATTAAATTTTTAATATTTATGGTTACACGTTAACCGGTGAGTCTTCACTAACTCCGACATCATCTACAATAGAACAACAACAATAATAATAAAATTAAAAATTAAAAAATAAACAATTAAAAAATAAATAAACAAAAAATAAAATTGAAAACATACATTGAATTCACTAACGACTATTTCTATAATAAATATAAATTTAAATATTAAAAAAAAAATTATTATTATTTCATTCGTCTTTTATATCAAAACTGATTGTAAAGGATTTCATCAAGTTAATTTAGACAAAAAATCATTTTTAAAAAAAACATCGTATAAGGATAAGGCATTCATATGGCTAATAATGCATTTAAAAATCTAATCATACTCGCTGAAAAATATATTGCACATTAAAATGAATTTTTATTTGATTTTTTAAAAAGCTTTAAATGCTCATGTATTGTCATGATGACATAAACACTTGAACCTTTATCAATCAATGGTTTACTTTAAAATATTGATTCCACAATTTAGTGTATGTTTAATAATTGCAATAAATAAAAAGCAGACTCTAGTCATAAAATTATTTGTCTCAGATAATCTAATTCTATGCATCAAAGAACTTTCGTCGACTCATTGACATATTGATTTTACCGTACTTTATTTCATCTTCTTTTTTACAAATATACATTGCATATCCTATCACGGATTAAAAAAAAAACACTCGATTTTTCTTTTATCATTTCGGCAGATTAAAAATATGATTTAATTCATCCTTCGATAAAAATTTTTGCAAAATCGTTGGGACTTTGAAAAGTAATAATTTTTTTCTTTTTTATATACGGTATATCGACATACGTATATACAGTATATTCTAATAGATAAAACTGATGTTTCGAGAACTCTTTAATCATGCGCATTATTTTAAATAGAACATTTTACCAGCATGATCATTCCAAGATAGCATTGTATTACAGTACAAGAAAAAATCTTGTTAATTTAATTTTACTACTAGATATGTATGGCATCATTCCGAACGAATTTTCTTTTGTTTGTAACTCATTTTATCTACGCATTACTCCTGAACAATCGGCTGCTTTTGTAGTGGCAATTGCATAATCTAGGTTTGACATTATTACTTTGTGTAACAAAATTTTGCTTAAAGTTCAGCGTAACTGTCATTTACTTGATTAATATATCCCCTAACTCTAGATTTATTTGATCAAAGTTTTGGTGTTTTTAAAAAGTTCTGTGAGACTTTTTTTTTCATTTACCGTTTGTATCGATTTTGTCTTATCAAAGTTTAGTGTAACTAAGTTTTTTAATGAAATTTCGTGCAACTCACAAAAATGACAATTCGGCTTTTTATATCTAAATATTTTTCTTGTTTTAATAATTTAATCTGTGTTTTTAATTAACCTGTTAGCCCGAATCGTATTGCATGACTATTGTGTGTCAGGTAACACTTAATGAATCACGTGTTTCCCGTTGTCTGTGTTATTGAAATGAAGACCAGCCAAATCAAAGACACACATCAAGAGTTAAAAGGAAAACTTACCTTTAGGTTGATTAGCTGACCAATCATAATGAGAAGAATTGTTGGAGATTGGCTATAAACTCTCCAATTGAACTCACAATAATATAAATATTTTTTATGTTAATATAAAACATGTCTTATAATTATAGTTTTAATTAAAAGATATAAATTTATATTTGATTTAAATAAAGATATGCAATATAGTATGTACATATATGCATAGTATAGTATATTGTTAAGAGACAAAATAGTTAGATTAATGTAATGTATTAAATTACATATCACAAAGCTAGAATGGTTTATTGTTCATATCTGTATCTGTTAATTGATAATTTTATCTTATTTGAAATTGATATTTCAAAAGAATCTTGTGAAACTGCATGAGAGCCTGTAATAAAATATTAAAGAATCAGGCAAATAAAAAAATAAAGAAGGTTTATTAGCCAGTGTCTTTAAAATTATTAACAAAAAGTTTTATATATTGATATAAAACAGAACAGTAACAATATTTATTAACCTATTGTTACTAAAATTTTCAAATATTTATTAACTTTAGATGGAAACAATTATATATTACCAACATTTATCAACATTTATTATTTTTAGTTATATTTTCCATATAATATTTTCTTCTTTTCTTCAAAAATTCTCAAATCACCTATATAATTAAATAGCACAGCAAATTCAGAATCCTATAGCTCAAAAACCAAGCTGCAAAACTTCTTTAAGGTTCTAAACAATTATTTGTGAAAAAACTAAAGAAATAACCTTTGTTATTAATTTAAATAATTTCACTTTTTTTCTTACAGATGAACTTTTTTTTTAATAATTATTCTAAGTGTAACAAATAATTCTCTAGTCAATTCTTTTGTGTAAATAAATAAATTACATATAAATAATTAAATCAGTAGCAATCTATAATTAATTAAAATATTATAAAAAGCTACAATTTCCCTTAGCTGTAAAGAAAAAAACAATTATTATAATTCTAAAATTCTAAATTCTTTTATTTTTCTTTTATATTTTTATATTTTTTTTCTGTTAAAATTTAATTTTTATATATTGGTTTCTTTTGATTCCAATAACAAGACAGTTGTAAAATTAATTGAAACATTAATTTTGAATTGTTTATATTAATTTGTTTAATAGTGTTTGAAACAGAACATATATTGAATAAATTAAATTATTAAGAATTAAAGTCTATTAAATAAGAAATTGAAAGTTTTTATATGTTAACTTGTGAATTTTATTTTATTTTAATTTCTGTTAATACTTCTTTAAATATTTATATATATATATTTTTATTCTCTTCTTATTTTCTTTTATTATATAGAAATATACTGTTTATTATAAGTTTAAATTGACACAATTCTTATTTTACTCTTCCAAGATAGTAATATTATAGATTAATAAAATAATAAATAATACTCTTAAATCCTTAAATGTATGTCTCTAGTTCAATATTTACAAAAGACAAATATATAAAATCTATATATTGTCATATGTCAATCCAACTTCAAAGACCAGCATAGGACGGAGAACTGATAGCAGGGAGACACCTTGAATGGTGAAGGCCAATGTGGTATGCTATAGTTCATAAAGAAGATACTTGAGGTTTTAAAAATCATAAGGCAAAAGACGTAACAATTATAATTGTATGAAGACAAATATAATTGTGGTTATTTGTAATGAACTGTTTATTATCAAAATATTATTACACTCCTAATTCTACCAATTCTACCTTTAATTCTCCTACAAATCTCTCTCCATTTCCTTTACAACTTTCCTACAATTTTCTCTATCATTTCTCTCCTCCTATACAAAATACATGATTATCCTATTTATATAAAAAGAAATAAAGGATATAATTGGTGTGCTGAATTATTGAGAGTAACAAATAATATGAATATGGAAAAGTTAATGAAAGGCTAATTTGTAACATGATTCACAATCCTTCGTGTTCATAACTTAGGAAATTATCACTTGATCATGTGATATAACAATATATTTTAATTGGATACTATAAATGTTTGACAGAAATCCTTAGTTACCGCAAAAGTGGTGACTGAAACCTTTTTCCTGGTTCTAAGTAAAGTTGTTCAGCGGATAAAAATACTATAGGTCTATTATTAGCAAATTAATGTGTTAGATCGAGGTTTGGTGTGAAATTTCCTATTTCTGAAAAGTTAAACTTTTAGGTTTAACAATATATATAAATTTATAGGTTTTTTTATATATAAAGTATTTTAATATTTGAATCTGAATTGACTCCTTTCGCAAAATTCTTACCAAAATACTTACAAAACGATTTAGCAAAACTCTCCAAAATAATAAAGTCCTTCAAAAAACCAATTTTGCTGGCCTCCCAAACCAAAGTACATTCGAA